GCAACGCAACGACAACGGGTAAAACGCGTTGGGATTTTTGCAATACAACTGGCCGGTACTGTAAATAATTTTAAATTTTACTTTCAATTTTTATCTTTAAGGAAATGCAAAGCATTAAAGAGCAAAAATGTCGCTGTAGAAACCCTCATAAAGGATTAGGTTGCATGCATAAGTTCCCTGATGAATTTGTTTACAAGATGAGATGGCAAATGAAACGCTTTCGACTAACAAAACTGCTAAAGTTATGTTCCTGTTAGGAGAAATATCAACATCGGGAGTCAAAGCAGGGACATCCACACAATGTACGAAACAGAAAAACAAGGATAGAAAACGGAAAAGAGTGGATATGGGATATTTCATAGATGGCATAAGGGTATGCAGAGACGCATTTTTGTTTATTCATATGTAATTTGTGTTTCTTGAACATAAGCAGTGCTTGAAATTGAACCATTGTGTTGTTCATTTTATTAAAAATATGTTACAATATCTATATATATAATATTTCATTTAGGACCAGTGATAAGTTTTTTACAAAACTTGTCAAGCACTACATCGAAAATGGCGTAGAGATGATTGAGGAATTTGGCTGTCATGGACAAAATAACATCAGGCGGTTTTCAAGAGAGGATACTGAGAGGGCTATGACTTTCCTTGTCAAGTACGCAGAAGACAAATCGCTCTGCATTCCCGGCAGGATTCCTGGAATCAAAAGCGCAGACCCTGTTTACTTTCTGACGGCAAGGAAGTGTGGTATCTTTGGCGTACATTGTGAAGGCCTTTCACAGCAAGTTAATTTTTTGGTTGACGAAGGAATGGACCATGGAAAGGGCCCTAATTCCGTAATATCATATTTACATTTTTTTTTCCCCCAAATTTGGCGTGGATTTTTTTTAACCAATTGGAAGAAAATTTAGATAGAATCTAAATGACAGACCTCATTCTTCTTTTTATAAGTTTTATAAGTAACTTATAAAAAGAAGAATGAGGTCCGTCATTTTGACATCTGTCATTGTGGCCACTTAACGTAGGCATTAAAATGTTTGCCCATCATATCAATATAGATCAATATTCATAGATTCTATCTAAATTTTCTGTATGAATTTATACTAACATTTTCTTAAAATTGTTATATAGTATATTTCACTTGTTTTAACTATTTGTCATCAAAGAAAATTAACCCGTTAATAAAATGGGCAATTCCAAACGGACAATTTCTTTTGACAAGCTAATTCTTATCAGTTCTATTGTTCTCGTTAGAATTATATACTAACTTTTTTTAAATTGTCAATAAAATGGTTATATAGTATATTTCACTTGATTTAATTAACATGTAGCAATTGTCTTTAAAAAAAATCAAAAGTTTCTTGTATTTGTCGTCAAAGGAAATTTACCCGTTAAAAAAATGGGCAATTCCAAATGAACAATTTCTTCGGACAAGCTAATTCTTATCAGTTCTATTCTTGTTAGAGAAACAAATCATTGTATTATAATTAGGTATCCCAATGAAACCCGTTTTGCGTTACCACAGTCCGGAAATATTCATGAAATTTGAT